TGCTTTTTTGAACATTTCAGCAATTTAAAAATATTAAAAAAGGATTTTTTACACGGCACCCCGATTGGGAAACACTGGAGTAGACTACAATGCCGCAGTTCTGACTCACGTAAGTACGTTTATATTTAAAGGATTAGCCACTGACGATTCAAACGTGAGTTTTGGGCAGTGTAGAGTAGCGCTTGTTGTTTGTCATTTCTCCGATCACAAATGCAGACAGGGTTTTATGTTTACGCGGCGCGATGCAACGCAATGCGTAAAAAGACAGTATAAGTCATTATAATCAGTAATTATGTCCCACTGGATGCAACAAATGCCTGGTTTATAATGGGTTTTAATGTGTTTGTCTCGTCGCTCCGGCCGGACAGAGCATCATCACAGTATGGTGAGGGGCGTAACATTTCCGTCACACACTTGAGGTATTCGGCCAATCACAACGCACTGGATAGCTGGCCAATCACAGCACACCTCGCTTTTCAGACCTCGCTTTGTAAAGGCCGGGCATAGAGGAGAAACAATATTAAAGGGGTTATATGATGTTGCTAAAAAGAACATTATGTTGTGTATTTGGTGTAATGAAATGTGTTTATGTGGTTTAAGGTTAAAAAAACACATTATTTTCCACATACTGTACATTATTGTTTCTCCTCTATGCCCCATACTGTGATGATGCTCTGTCCGGCCGGAGCGACGAGACAAACACATTAAAACCCATTATAAACCAGGCATTTGTTGCATCCAGTGGGCACATAATTACTGATTATAATGACTTATACTGTCTTTTTACTCGTTGTGTTGCATCGCGCCGCGTAAACATAAAACCATGTCTGCATTTGTGATCGGAGAAATGACAAACAACCAGTGCTACTCTACACTGCCCAAAACTCACGTTTGAATCATCAGTGGCTAATCCTTTAATTGAAAACGTACTTACGTGAGTCAGAACTTAAACCTAGGCCTGGGTGATAAAAACGGTATCAATATTTATCAACGGTACACCATCTTCAATAACGATATAAAAATGTTCAATATAGCGCACGATATAGGCAGGTGCTCTGAGTGACGCAGACAGCACACACAAACACGAACATGAGTGCTGTGCTGCCTGTGATGAGGAGATTGGGAGTAAAGAATTAATATTAGTCGAATTTAAAATTGCTGTGCTGCCTGTGATGAGGAGATTGGGAGTAAAGAATTAATATTAGTCGAATTTAAAATAAACATTTGCATTTGAATGCAAAAATAGTACAATCCAATGTTAGCAGGGCATCAGGGAGCGTCATCAGTGGAGCACGAGATGCGGTGATGATGATGTGAGTGACGTAAGTCTAGCCCACGAGACGCGCCGCTGCTGCGTTATTCATTCTAAATATTAGAGAAATATAGTAGCAACGCGTAGAAGATCTTGATTAGGTTAAAACTGAAACCATTCACACAGAATGCAAATTCAGTGCATTTTCTAGACGGTCAAATACGACTGCTGCACTCGCGTCTCACACAAGAGATGTATAGAAAGCCATGCAAAGTTAAAACAGTTTAAACTTTTAGAAAACACGTCACACATTTTTGTGGAGGTTTTTTCCTTTTCACTGTGTCTCGTATGTCTTTAAAGGCAATCTGCGTGAATGGCGCTTCGGCTCTTTGTATTAAGCAGTGCATAAATACGTGATGCTGTTTTGTTCATAATTGTTTATGCAATTTACTAAATCATATTTACAGTGGTGTGAAAGTGTTGGCCCCCTTCCTGATTTCTTATTTTTTTGCATATTTGTCACACTTAAAAGATTCAGATCATCAAACAAATTTTAATATTACACAAAGATAATGCAAGTAAATACAAAATGCAGTTTTTAAATGATGATTTCATTTATTAAGGGAAAAAAGCTGTCCAAA